AACATTGCCCCCCAACCACATCTACTCTCTTCTCAGGTTATATGTCAGCTGGATGTTGTACATTCTTTGCATGTGCATGCATGTGTGTAAGTGTGTAGAAGCAGTAGGGGGTGGGGGAAGGTGGGGTGGGGGTGTCCTCCTGCCTGAAAAGCTTTGCTTTTCTTTCTTTCTTTTTTTTTTTTCTTGAGACGGAGTCTTCCTCTGTCGCCAGGCTGGAGTGCAGTGGCGTGATCTCAGCTCACTGCAACCTCCACCTCCTGGGTTCAAAGGATTCTCCTGCCTCAGCCTCCTGAGTAGCTGGGACTACAGGTGTGTGCCACCACACCCAGCTTATTTTTGTATTTTTAGTAGAGACAAGGTTTCACCATGTTGGCCAGGATGGTCTCGCTCTCTTGACTTTATGATCCGACTGCCTTGACCTCCCAAAGTGCTGGCTGTGAGCCACCGTGCCCAGCCCAAAGCTTTGCTTTTCTTTGAGTAGTCAGTCAACCTTTTTTTTTTTGTCCTTCCAGACTCAAGCAGAAGCTGATCACAGTGGTTAACCAGACATTACCAGTCCATTCAGACTATAAAGTATAACCATGTATAAATTTCCTCACCTACTACAATTACATATTCACCTGTTGTTCACATGGTGAGTCTTTGAGGACAGGGGTATACATCTATTTACCTTTCTCCTTGCAGCACCTGGCTTCTAAATATATGTGGGCTGAATGGACAAGTGTTTTCCAATAGTCATTATCACATGGCATAGACAGGCTTGGATCAAAGGCCCTAAGTGTTGGGAATTACAGTCACAGCAGTCACTTGCTACTGAGGTAGATATGCTTCTCCATTTGAACAAACACACTGCCAAGATCATCATTTCTCTGATGTCCAGGGGAATCTATCCATAAAATGATTACTCTTTTGCAACTGGAAAGGTGTTGCATGTGACACAGTGTTGAGTGTAGTAGACAGAACTTAAGCAGCAGATTGAGAGACCAAAGACTTCACATTTCTAGTTCTAGCCCTCACTGTCCCCTTCCTCAGGGATCATTATCTTTTTTTTTTCTTTTTTTTGAGACAGAGTCTCACTCTATCGCCCAGGCTGGAGTGCCGTGGCACCATCTCAGCTCACTGCAACCTCAGCCTCCCGGGTTCAAGCGATTCTCCTGCCTCAGCCTCCTGAGTCGCTGGGACTATAGGCGTGTGCCACCCACCCGCCTAATTTTTTTTTGTTTGTTTGTTTGGTTTTTTTTGGTTTTTTTTGAGACAGAGTCTCATTCTGTCACCCAGGCTGGAGTGCAGTGGCGCGATCTTGGCTCACTGCAAGCTCTGCCTCCCGGGTTCACGCCATTCTCTTGCCTCAGCCTCCTAAGTAGCTGGGACTACAGGCGCCCATCACCACGCCCAGCTAATTTTTTATATTTTTAGTAGAGGTGGGGTTTCACTGTGTTAGCCAGGATGGTTTCGATCTCCTGACCTTGTGATCCACCCGCCTCGGCCTCCCGAAGTGCTGGGATTACAGGCGTGAGCCACCGTGCCTGGCATAATTTTTGTATTTTTTTAGTAGAGACGGGGGTTTCACCATATTGGCCTGGCTGGTCCCGAACTCTTGACCTCATGGTCCACCCGCTTCGGCCTCCCAAAGTGCTAGGATTACAGGCGTAAACTACTGCACCCAGCCAGGGATCATTATCTTTGTGTGGCAGGGCATTCATTCAATTTGGATTTTTGCAGATGATGATAATTTATACAGTGGGTATTCACCGTGCTATCAAAACAGATTAACTTTTGAACTTCTAAGAAAACACTAGTCAGTGCACCCACCAAATCACAATTTCCTTTTTCCTTTCCTTTTTTTTTTTTGAGACAGAGTCTTGCTCTGTCACCCAGGCTGGAGTGCAGTGGCGTGATCTTGGCTCACCACAACCTGTGCCTCCTGGGCTCAAGCGATTCTCATGCCTCAGCCTCCCCAGTAGCTGGGACTACAGGCGTGCTCTACCACGTCCAGCTAATTTTTGTATTTTTAGTAGAGACAGGGTTTCACCATGTTGGCCAGGCTGGTCTCGAAATCCTGACCTCAGGTGATCTGCCCCACCAGGCTTCCCAAAGTTCTGGCATTACAGACGTAAGCCACCGCACCCAGCCTCCTTTCATCTTTTTGTCTTTCATCATTTTATGTGCTGGGCTTTCTTTTTACATTTTAATTTATTTATTTTAGTAAGAAATAGCTTCCAGCGTAAGAGTATATATAAGTATGCCACCTTCTGGATAACAAGAGGGGGTAAAGATAGTTATATGTAGTTGTTTATAACTCTGCAGAACATCTCTATAAGGATACAGAGGAATGAGGGAACACTGGTTACCTCCCAGGAGAAGAGCTAGGTGTCTAGCAGGCAGGGTGAGAAGCAGACTTTTTACTTATACCCTTTTGTATCTTTGGGGGTGGCACCATATAAATTATCTCACTTCCTTAGATATGAAACACAAGCTAATAATAATTTTACAACTAATACTTTGAAGGCATTATTCAAGTACCTTCCCATGAATGTTACTGCCAAATTAACATAGCTGAGGGAAAATAGGGCTTAGGTACTTGGTCAGTACATGACATCTGTGGACTGTGAGGGAGGAAGTTCAACTCAGTTGTCTAACATCTCTTGGGTTTCACGGTCATTTTCTATTTTTAAAATTCTTTTATTTTCTTCCTGATTCAATTAACAAGTTTTTATTTAGTGCCTACTCTTTGCCCAGTACTGTCCTGGGAATCCTAGGAGATATAAAAGAAGCCTTCATGAAACAACTTTTACAGTTCTTGCCAAGTGTGGAGATCACTGTGGAATGGTGTGGCTAGAAAGTCATCCTGGAAGCAGAGTCTTACTTGCAGAGACGCAGAAGGCTTAGACAAATGGAAGGAGGGCAGAAGGGGCTGCTGGCCAGGGGCAAAGCTTGACAGGGGCAGAAAGCGATATGGGTGGTCAGAGAGGCCCGTTTGGAAACTCCCGATAGGTCAGGCAGAAGAACTTAACCTTGGGAGTCCATTAGGAGTGATAAGAGAAGGAAGCCTGGTATTAGCAAGGAAATAAGAGGGAACCGAGAAACCAGATGCCAGGAGACCACCCTTGTTGCAATAATCCGAATGTAAAATGATGAGGGTTTGGATTTAGAATGTTCCAGGGGAAACAGAAAGGAAACAAAGAATTCATGAGACATTTCAAAGGAGGAAATACCAGGTCTTGATGATGAAGATGAGAATGGGAGAAATCACATGATTCCAATTTTTCTACCTTGGGAAGCCAGCAAAGGGACTTCTTTTCAGATCTCATTTCTTTCCTCGCGCACAAATTGACCCCCTCGTAGAGTTCAGTTGAAATATCAATTACAAACAGAATTGATCTATTTTTTTCCCCTTAGAAACACAGGTAATCTTATTTGCCTTTAGCTAAATGACCCAAGATGCACCTTGCTTGGCTTTGTTCTTGGATAGCACTCATACCTCTATGACAGTGCTCCCCACTTTGGCCTTGTACTGCGTGTGTGGTGTGTAGGTGCGTTTATTACCCACTAAACCAAAAGTCTGTGTTGTGCAGGGACCACGTCTCATGCATAGTTAAGTATTAAAAAGTTTTTGTTAATTGTTTAAGAAAATGATATTTACATGAAACAATACTTTAAAAAGCTTTCCAGAAACAACAGCATTAAAACAAAATCATTGCAATTAAAATTTACATAAATTAAAAGGTTCTCTGCTCCACATGCCAAGAAAAGATCTTATACTATTGTAATAGTGTTAGAGTCACAGTTTTATTCCTCAGCTTAAGTGCTGCAATACAGTAATAAGAATGCAGTACCAGAATACTGTGTCACAAACAATTAAACGAAACACTTCATATATGCTTTACACAAGTTATTGGATATTGCTTAGTATTTATTTCCCCCACCTCTGTGGTGCAAAGATATTAATATCCTTGTTTTATAGGAGAGGAAACAGGTAAAGAGAAATTAAGAAATTTGCACAAGGTCATCCAGCTAGTAAATGTTGGAGCTGGGATTTGAACCCAGACAACTTGGTCAAGTCTCCATCCTTAACAGTTCTGCTCTGTATTGCATAAGCAGACAGCTCCCTTTTGGGGACTGACAGGTTATTTGAGGCATATGAACCATTTCTGGTGGGGGGGTTTTTCCACCCAGTACTGGAAGTGTCTAGTGATATGGGGCATAACCTTAGGAGCAAGCAGGAAAAGAAGAATTGTATTCCAATACTATTAAGAAATATACCAGAGTAAACGAATAACCATCAATAACAGCATTTTACAGCCTACCTAATAACACAAGAATAAAACTCTTTATCTGGAATCTAAATAATACCCCCTCCTCTCATTTTATTAAAAGCCTTGCTTTATTTGGAAACTCTTAAAATAAGTGATCATACGATTAAAAAAAGCAGCGGCGCGCCCCCTCCCCGGCGGCCGGGCGCAGCTGTCCGCGCCTCCCCCGCGCGGCTGCCCGCATTCCAACTCTCTGAGGTCACGGGCCGCCGCCGCCTCCCCAGATCCGCCCGCCCGGCCCAGGGGGAGGGACGCCCGGGCCTGGCCGCCCCGCTGCTCTGGCCGCGCGTCCCGCGTCGGTCCGACATTCTGTCCGTCCTGCTGCCACCCCACGCCCCCGCAAGGATTCTTTGTGGGGCGCTCCTCGCCGGCCGGTCCCACCTCCAGGCCTCGCCCCTCGCCCCTCGCCGTCGCCACCGCCGGACTCTGCTCAGGGGAATGGTCTGCGGGCCGGGTTTTTGGAGACAGGAAGTGAGGCGTGCGAGCTCCATGAGCGCGCCGCGGCGCGGGCTGGCGTGCGGGTGCGGCTGCGGCGACCGCGCGGCGGGGCCCCGGGAGGCGGGTCGCTGAGCGGGGCGCGCGGCCCCGAGGATGCGGGAGCGGGAGCAGGTGAGGGCGCGGGCCCCGGCCGGCGGGAGGGGCGGGCCCCGGCACGAGCGGTGGGGTGTGTCCGCTCGCCGGGACCCCGGAGCGCGCCCGCGGCCCCGGAGTCCCGGAGAATGGGGCGCGGCGGCCAGACCCGTAGCGGTAGCGTAACAAAGAGAAAAGTCTTGCTTTTCCAGGTTCGCTCTCATGTATTTGAGTAATTTCTAAAAGGGGTCTTGAACTTCTATTCTGAACGCCCTGGCCGATTGTTGCGGGTTAATTCTGGATCAGGGTTTTAAATGTGTTAGGCATATTTGTGCCTCTCAGAATATGTAAACGTGAAATTCGCCAGATAACTTTGGCGAGAAGGGGCGCAGGGAAGGGCTGTTTGGTAACGCCTGGGTTTGTTTTTGGAGTAGAATGTTTACTCTGGAAAAAAGAATTCTTGGATCTGCAAATTCCGACTTGTGATTTCTGCAAATCCTGATTAGATTGGCCGCTTTTGGCATGCTCGTCCTGTTTTTTGCTGAGAAAGCCTTATAATAATAGCGTATGCTCACAAACACATTCAAAACATTCGTGTGCTCCAAGTGACAACTGCTGTATGCCTAATAGTTGCTGACAGTTTATTTATTTTTTTAAGTTTGGGATACGACAGTAATTTTACTCTCAGTATAGTCCGTTTTGTTTCTAGGGCATTTTATTCTGGAGCATCTACGCGCAGATGTTTTCTCTGTGAGAAACATGGGTTTAATGCTATAGCTATAGATATTACTCTAAAAATGTCACATACGTTCTCCTTTTAGTGCTTATTTTATTTTAAAGCAACGTTGGCAAAATTACACGTGGTGAGGACCTTAATAGGAAGGGGAATCGCTATAAGATTGAGAAGTAAAGTGTATTTGAGAAACTTTTGGAAAGGGATGTAGAGAGGGAAAATTAAAATGAATTCACAAATAGTTCAGACTGCCTTTTGTAAACTTGTACTGAAGCAGAATCTAGTATGTATTCGTTTACTTACCACAAAACGGAAAGATTTTGTAGAGAAACAAAATCATCGTTTTCCTTTAATAGCTATTTATAAATTATATTTACTTTAGTAAATAATTCCAGACCCAATCACTTTCATATTATTGCATATTATTTTATACCTGAAACAGCCCTCCCCAAAGAACTCTTAAATTTGTACTCATCTTGGTTTTATTATCTTCAGACATTGATAATTGTATTACATCATTTGGCAACAAATACTTCATATTACTGAAAATTAGGATGTGTAGATCATTGATAAATTTGTAAATTATTAAACAAAAAAATTATTTTAACATAGTGGGTTTTATATAAATAAGCAAAAAGCAAGCCATTCTTATGGATAGATCTTGGGGGGATGCACCATATACACACAGACTGCAACTTTTTCAATTTCATCTACTAAAATAATTTGACTTTTCCTTTATCCCTGATGCAGTAATACATTTCAAGTCTCAGGGACAATTGAACGTTTTACTGAGTTTGCTTAATCAGAGCTTAAGTTAATAATTAAGTTATACAGTGTAGTATATATTGCTTTCAAGGCGTAGTTCTACGTAGTGAAAAGACTACCATATTTGAATGGCATCTAATACAAATATTTATCTTTCCTCTACACATATGCAATATCTTGTCTGTTCGTCTACACTACTTAATCCGCCCGGTTTCCAGTTACCATAATTTTTATATAAAATTGAAACCCACCATCTGATCTCATGAAAGGGTGTTTAGTATGCATATTTATAATCCTTAAATATTTACACTCTTGGTTTATCAATTTTCTGGTTAAAAGCTTATTATTTAAAGTTGTCATTTGCTAATTTTTTTCCATCTTGCTTTACTTATTTATTTAGTTTATACCCCGAAACATCAAAGAGCATTGAAAACTACTGGAAGTGGAAACCATATCTTTTTAATATTTATTTTCTGTTTCCCTCCATAGTATGGTGCTTTTACCTACAGAAGGCACGCAGCAAATGCTGTTAATTAACACAGTGCTTTAGGTAGTTTCAGCTGTGTTTTTTTCTTCTGGCCTGCCCCAACCCTTGTTTTTAATATTTTGATTTTCCTGGCTATGGGGAATAACTAGAGCTCAAAACAAACAAAAAACTAGCCAGATAGAACCGTGGTTGGGTCCTTATTAGAGATACAGCTCTGTATGTAATTATAGCATGGTTGTAATCTCCTTAAAGACAGCGACGGCTTAGGGATTCGTCTTAGATTTCTCACGATGCTCATTACGCTGTCTTGTACCCAGAGACGCAACACACATTTGTGGAATGGAATTTCAAAATGTTAAGTTTGGCAAAGCCTAGGGTAGTAGCCGAACCCTTTTCTCCAGCTCTGCCATTCCCTAACGCTGTGTGCCCCATCACCTCTGGGCCTGAGACGCAGTCAGGAAAGCAGGACCCAGCAAAGGACTGGGAGTGTGGAATTTGGGATCGATTCCCAGCTTAGCCCGTCCTAGCGTGAAACTGCGAAAGCCGCTTCTCTTCCTGAAGCCTTGGTTCTGCCTGCTAGATGAGAGGGTCGGGAGCAGATCCTGCCTCTCCGCGCGGTCCGGGGCCGGAGCTCAGCGTAGCCAGCTATAGCTGGGTCTCGCTAAGCGATTCATCCCCAACAGGCAACCTCTGCGCAGAAGAAGGTGGGGAACCGTCTCAGGACCCTGGAAATATCCGGGATTTTGTAGACTCGTCTAGGGGGAAAAAAACGAATCCAGCTGATAACAAAAATTCCCAGCTGGTGCTCGCTCCCATTTGCCTCAGCCCAGAAGTTACCATCAACAGGTCTGGTTAAAAACTCGGTTAGAGCCCGGCGTGGTGGCGCGCACCTGTGGTCCCAGCTACCCGGGAGGCTGAGGCGGGAGGATCGCTTGAGCCCAGGTGTTCGAGGCTGCGGTGAGCTACGATGGCGCCACTGCAGTCCAGCCTGGGTGGCATAGCAAGACTTCGCTCTATAAAACACGTTGTAAGGAGCGTATTTCGAGGTCCTGTGGCTCCAAAGCGGGTATGACAACCTCTCCACCGCCAGTAGGGCTCGCGCTGGTCCCTTTAAATGTTTCCTTCGGGAGCAGAGGGACTGGTCCTTTTAGAGCGCGTCCGTCCAGAAACGCGGCTGCAGAAAGAGGGTTCCGGAGCCTCCGAGTCTACTGGTTGTCCTGGCAACGCCGCTTGCTCTTCCCAAGGGGAGGACGCGGAAGAAGCCGGGGCCTGAGTGCTCCAAGGCCCCGTGGGCTTCCTGCGTTTGTTGCCCCCCCAGCCGCTCATTAACTCAGGATGGCGTGGAAGGCCTCGCCCGCCTCCCGTTCTGGGCCGCGGCTCCGCTTAAGTGAAGGCCTGTTTGGGCGTCCCCACCCTGGAGAGGGGCCGGGGTCTGGATTTTCAGAACTGCCACTCTTCCAGTGGTAAATGAATGGATAACGAGCATTTGTAGGGTATTTTATGATGTTTATCAGTAAATCAATTTGATGACGTGAATACTTCCACAAGCGCTTGTTAGGCACCTCACCGCGTCTGAACCACACACCTGCCATTCTTAGTGGGGATTATTCCTCCCATTTGCCTTCAGGGTTAATTTTCTAAAGGGATTGGGACTGGAACCTAGCTCTTTTGGGGGTATTTTGCACTTTTCTCACTTAAGAACTAAAGAACTCTGACATTTGGAGTACTACAACCTGAAAGAGTTATACCTATGAAGAAACACCACCTTATCCAAAATAGGAAGAGGACCACGAATACTAACATTTGGGATTATAGTAGTGCTGGCCATTATCTCATTTAATCCTGACGATGGCCTAGCTTGCTCTCCCTATTTGTAGGATACAGTGAAGGGTGGAGTCTGACCCTGAGCCCAACACAACTCTGAGATAAAATTCCACCCTGCCTCCCGGGTCCTGTTAGTGCCTCCTTTTTCCAGCGGGTGGGGACGGCTTATTATTTGGACACAGCTTGACTGGCTTTTCTTTATATTAAGCAAAGCCCAGCGTTACCTTTGCTTAAGTAACGGCGTTCCTCTTTCCCCAGCGCTGGCGTCGATGCTCACTTCCTCGGGCCATTGGAGACTCCGTTGCTTTTTAATGGCGGCAGCGGCTGCTGGGTGAGCAGCTGGAGGCCGGACAGTGTTCGTCCCATTCGGAGAGGATTGATTTCTCCTGGCGTCACCACCGCTGGGTTGGTGGGGGTAGCTTTTCCCTGTTTGCTCCTCCACTCTTGAAGAAAGAAGAAGATGCCACTGCCATTTGGGTTGAAACTGAAACGCACCCGGCGCTACACGGTGTCTAGCAAGAGCTGCCTGGTTGCCCGGATCCAGCTGCTTAATAACGAGTTTGTGGAGTTCACCCTGTCCGTGGAGAGCACTGGCCAGGAAAGCCTCGAGGCCGTGGCCCAGAGGCTGGAGCTGCGGGAGGTAAGCCACCTAAAGACTGCAGGCTGGGCGCGGGTGGCTCACGCCTGTAATCCCAGCACTGAGAGACCGAGGCGGGTGGATCACCTGAGGTCAGGAGTTCGAGACCAGCCTGGCCAACATGGTGAAACCTCGTCTCTACCAAAAATACAAGGCCGGGCGCGGTGGCTCACGCCTGTAATCCCAGCACTTTGGGAGGCCGAGGCTGGCGAATCACAAGGTCAGGAGTTCGAGACCAGCCTGGCTA